GGGAAAGAGGAAGGGAGAATTGTGCGATTTTTGATTTTGGCAGAGAAGATGGGTTAGTAATTTCCAAATCCTGCTCTAGGGTACATGGGTGCCCCAGTGGTTATGGTCTTCCAACTCCCACATTAATCAGTGAAGATCTGGAGGTTTGTTTTTGTTTTGTGGTGAGGGGTCTGTAAATGAACTGAGCATCTGAAAAAGATTTTGTTTGAACAAGGGTGTCCATAACTTAAAAATGCCTGAACACCACTAAGAAGGACTAACCAATATTCAATGAATAATACATTAACACCTAGTCAACAACAAAGCCAGAAGCATTCAATATGGAAAACTGGCTTTAAAAAGTGATAAAACACTAAGTAAAAAAGACGAATAGCTGTAGTTACTTTACCTTTATGAATAAGTTTGCTTCTGTCACTTCTGATCAGAGATTTATGGGGTACACTGTTTGCTTAAGGAGGGACATGCAAGAGTTAAGCTTTCCCAACTTGGTTTTGGCAAGAAGAGAATAGATGGTTTTAGCAAGGAATTGGCTATGAACCCAAAGCAAACAGCTGCGGAAGGGGAAAAGATGTTCAAGATGAGAGGTGACATTATTGGGTATGTTTGTTTAGGTGGATAGGAGGGGCCCACTGAATAACTCTGGGGTGGGGTACATACCTATCCTACTTCAGAGATCTACAGAAAAGTTTATATCCTTTCCCGAAGACACTTCTGATTCACATCATCTAAATCCTCCTATGCCTCCACTGCCAAGCCAATCAATGCTATCAAAAATCAGAGACAGTGTTTAACTACAGTAATTTACAAAAACAGTCATTTTCTAAATAAATCAGATTATAAAGAACATCAGCCATTTCATATGCTTTCTTTGTCTTCTCTGATGAAAAAGCTACAGAACCAAAAGTTCCTTTGCCAGTGACTGGGGCCATGATGCAAGGAGATGGCTAGGATGGACCAACTTCTTCCACCATTCTCTCTCTTTCCTCAGCCCATGATAAGTTGAGACTGTGACAGAGAAGAGAATAAAGCTTCAAAATTATCTGAGAAGAATCTATTCAATTTTTCTGCCTTACCAAAATGCTTGTGTAGCTAATGAGATGATGGGCGATCTTCCCATTTACTAAACTTTCTATAATGTGGAAATTTTACAACAGAGAATGTAATTGAGCCTCTCCACATTAAGACTCATTAATTTCAAAAGATCAAGATCAGAAGGAAAAAACATTAGTTAGCATTTGCATTTTGAAAACAAATTATATGACTATATACCAATAAAAACAATCTTTTCCAATTGTTTAAAAAAAAATTGATGACAAGATGAACAATAATCATTGTAACCACTTTAAATTAGTAACATTTAATTCCCAATATCCATGGATACTCTTTTGAAGGTTCAGAAATAAAAGTAATGTTACATTGTTCCAAACATGGAGAAGCCAAACGTTATTGTCATACATATGCTCTTAGACCTAAAGTTTGGTCCTTTAATTATTTATTATGTAGTTGATCTATTTAATTAAGATATTAAGAACCACAATTAGAGTTGCTTCCTTATGGTAAAACTATGGCAACAGAAAAGCAATTCTATACCTACAGGAGAATGTTGATAAAATACTGATGCCTGAAAGAAAAGTACAGTGACTTAGATGATCTACATACAAGACTGTTCATACGAGCAGACTTTTCTGTGCTATTTTCTGGACTTACAGACAAACCAAAAGAAGTTCCAGTGATTTATTTTCTCAAAATAGATAAGATATGAGAGTTATGTACAAATTATTTATAGAGATACTAATTTCCTCAAAAGAAAATCTAATATAAACCACCTACAGGCATAATGTAGTTTTAGCAAGATTCCAAAGGGTCTTCTTACTCTGAAATTCATATGTGAAATAGACTAACACATGGGCTAGATGTTTCAATCCTTTTTAGAATAGGGCAAGGTATAAAATTTAAAGTATCTATAACAGGCTTTGAAATTCTATACCTTCAACAAAATACCAAATTCTAATGTAACTATATAAGTCCTTCCTGTTAAAATATATAAATCTTATTTATGGCATGCTTATATCAATAAGATTGCTACTAAATACACAAAGGCAAGAGTAATCATATGTGTTGTTTTATTATAACCTTAATTTTCTGATTATAAAAATCTCCCCAAAGAGAGAACCACAAATTGGTATATTTTTTCCTATTTTTTTAAGCCAAAATAAAAACAGAGCTCACCTCTGATACATACACAGTTTTAAATCCTGTGTTTTTTTAAAATAATGTGAATTATTTCTACATATCTTTCTGACCACGATGCAGTGTCAGAGGACATGCAATTCATGGCTTATACCACCTGAGGGCACTCCAAAAAATCTTTAAACTTTTAGAATGGAATTTTTATCTACTAGGAAGTAGACAATCCTACTTGAAGTTCAGTGGTGGCTTAAAAAACATGTTTGAGAAAACATGTGTTTTTTCATAAAAAATAAGATGATGACAAATATGCATATTCAATCCACTGCATTTTCTCTGGGTCTCATGTCCTTGCAATGAAAGTTGAGGTTCTAGATCAGAATAAACAAACTAAATAACTCCAAATGAGAAGGTTAAAACATTACTAACAGTCTCATAAGATTATCCTTTTATAGTATGTGTTTATCATCAACAACCAAAAGTTCACATTTTTGTAGAAAACAAGAGAAATTCAAGAATCACTTCAAATACATACATGATTTAAAAGTTGGTCAGAAAAGATTTGGTTTAATATATACATGACACTTCAGTTCAAGAAAACAAGTAACCAGAGGACACCCTACCTGTTTCCTGTGAATTCAACACTTCTAAGGCATGCATCATGGCACTTGCGAAGACATTGGCATCTTCTTTGCTGCCAAAGTTAAGACCATACACCTGTCTAGCATCCCGCCATTGGTGGAAGGTCTGTGTAGCTTGATTGTACTTCAACCCTTTAGGAATGGCACAATTTATCACGACCTAAAAGACAGTAATTCTTTTTACAGTCAAGCTAATAATTGGCAAAATCAACAACGTCAACAAAGCCTGACTGGACATATTCATTCAAACCTGCTCCTGACACACCTTGGCAAAAAATGGTTAAAACAATTATCTAGGGTAAAATTAGTCTGCAGAAGTAACAGTCTGATGGACATTACGCTGTCTGATAGTTACAAAGGTCTGGCCTTAAAAGAGTAAATCAGCGAAACGAAAGAAAATCTATATCCCTCAGTAAATAAATTTGAACATGTTTACTGAGGTATTATAAATTCAGAAAGTGTATAAAACATAAGCATGTATCTCAGTGATTGCTCCCATGTAGCCAAAACCCTAATCAAGAAATAGGACATTAACATCAAAAACCTCCTCCTCAACTCCTCCCGCCTCCCAAAAGGTATTAGTCCTACCTCTAACATCAAAGGTCAGATTTGTAGGTTTGGGGATTTTATATAAATGGAATTACACAATACATATTGTAATTTATCTGCCATCTTTCCCTCAAAATTATTTATGAGAGGTGCCTATTTGTTGCATGTACTTGTGGTTTATTCTTTTTCATTGCTCTATGGTATCCCATTGTACAAATCATGTTTATTCACCCATTTTCCCATTAATGAACATCTGGATTATTTCCAGCTTGGTGTTACTAAAAATAACAATGTTGTAACCATCCTACCAAATGTCTACCAAATGAGCACACTTGGGCACATACCCAGGAGTGGAACTGTTACAAGCCATACATGTATGTTCAACTTTAGTAGAAAACTCAAAGTAGCTTTCCAAATCGGTCCTATCAATTTTCACTCTACCAGCAGTATACAAGAGCTTGCACATCTGCACATACAGTACAACATTGTAATTGGTATAGTCAGTCTTTACTTCAGCAATTCTGCTGGGTATGAATACTACATCGCTGTGGTTCCAGTTAGCATTTCCCTGATTAATATTGAGATTTAGCACCTTTTCATGTTTTAATGGTTATCTAGAGATCTTCTTTTATGAATACCTGCTTAAATTAAATCTCTTGCCCATTTTCCTACTGAGTTGTCCATCTTTTTCTTTATTGATTTGTAAGAGTCCTTTACATATTCTGGATGATCTCACTGCTGGGATCATCAGTGATGTGTTACAAATACTTCTTCCATTTTGTGACTTGCCTTTTCACTCTCTGAATGGTGTCTTTTGATGAACAGGAGTTCTTAACTTTTATTCAGTCCAAATTCACAATCTTTTTCTTTACAGTTAATGCTTTTTTGTAACCTGTTTAAGAAATGTTTCTCAATCCCAAGTCATGAAAATGTTATCCCCATATTATTTTATAGAAGCTTTACTGTATTAACTGTCATATTTACGTCTCCAATCCAAAAGGAATTGATTTATGCCTATGGTATGATATAAGGTTCAAGTTTCCTTTTTGTTTCAATATGGCTGTCCAGTTGATGCAGCACTATCTATTAACTTGCTGCAGGTTTACCTTTTTCAGAAATGAAGTGACTAAATGGCTCTATTTTGTTCTACTAGCCAGTATGCCTATCTTTGAGCCAACATCAGTGCCTTAATTATTGTAGCTTTATAGTTAAGTCTTGATAGCCACTAGAGTATGTCCTCCTACTTTGTTGTTCTCCTCAATATTGCTTTGGCTGTTCTCAGTCCTTTGTGTGCAGCTATAATTTCATACTATCAATTTTGTGTTATTTATTCAATCTGCCAGACTCTGCTTTTACTTGTAGTGTTCAGTGTTCAGTCCATTTACATTTAATGTAAATTATATACGTGGGTCTAAATCTATCATACCTTCTTTTAGAGTTGTTTATTATTGCCCCCTCTATTAGCTTGCTAGTTATATATGTTTTCACTGTTGTTTTAGTGGTTGCCCTAGAGATTACAACAGGTACCCTAAACTTATCAAAGACAAATAAAAACTAGTATTTTTATCTTTACCTCAACAATACAAGGACTTACAATACTTTATCTCCAGTAACATTCCCTTTCTTCCAATGCCCATCCTAGGAGTCCTACACTAGTTTTATCAAGTGTTTTAATTCCATTAATATTTTAAACCCCATAAAACATTATTAGTCTTATACAGTTGATGATCATTTAAGATTTACCCAATAGTTACATTTTCTGTTGCTTTTTATTCCTTCTGCCCTCTCCAAGCTTCTGTTCCGACCATTTCTGATCTTGAAGAATACCCTTTAGAATTTCATTCAAAGCAGATCTCCTGGTGATGAATTATCTCCATTTTGGCTTGTAAGAAAATACCTTTGTTTCACCTTTTTTTTTTTGCGGTACGCGGGCCTCTCACTGTTGTGGCCTCTCCCGTTGCGGAGCACAAGCTCCAGATGCGCAGGCTCAGCGGCCATGGCTCACGATCCCAGCCGCTCCGCGGCACGTGGGATCTTCCCGGACTGGGGCACGAACCCGTGTCCCCTGCATCGGCAGGCGGACTCTCAACCACTGCACCACCAGGGAAGCCCTCACCTTGATTTTTGAAGACTATTTGTATCAGCTTTGGAACTTTAAGTGGCCACTTATTTTCTTTTACTTCTTTGCAATCTACTGCCTCTTAAGTTTTTGTTGTTTCTACCGAGAAGTCAGCTGACAGTTTATTGTTGCTTCTTTAAAGTTGTCCTTTTTTCACTGACTGCTCTAAAGAGTTTCACCTTGAATTTAGTTTACAGTGATTTTAATATGATGGGTTTATATGTGGTTTTCTTTGTATTTATCCCATTTAAGATTTACAGCATTTCTAAGCTGATGTCCTTTCATCACTTCTGAAAATTCTTGTTCACTATTATGTCTTCAATTACTGCTCCTGCCCCATTCTCTCCTCTCCTCTGGGACTCCAATAACGTATGTGTATACCTTATATTCTTTTTTTACTGTATTTCCTATGTCTCTCAAGCTTTTTCAGATGTCCATATTTTTCTCTCTCAGAACATCACAGCTTCGGACTGAATATTTCCTTCTGACTTATATTCCAGTTTACTAATTCTTTTTAGTGGCTTCTAATTTGTTGTAGAACCCATCACTGAGTTGTTAATAGCAGTTATTTTATTTTTCAATTCCAACATTTCCATTTCGCTCTTTTTTCAAAAAAGTTTCCAGTTCTCTACTGAAATTCTCAATCTTATCTTTTATTTCCTTGAATATATTAAGCACAGTTATTTTATTTTTTTTTGCGGTACGCGGGCCTCTCACTGCTGCGGCTTCTCCCGTTGCGGAGCACAGGCTCCGAACGTGCAGGCTCAGCGGCCATGGCTCAAGGGGCCCAGCCGCTCCGTGGCACGTGGGATCTTCCGGGACCGGGGCACGAACCCGCGTCCCCTGCATCGGCAGGCAGACTCTCAACCACTGCGCCACCAGGGAAGCCCTAAGCACAGTTATTTTAAAGTCAATTTCTGGTAATCCCATTAACTGGATTCCCAGTGGGTCTGTTCTATTACTGTTCCTCCTGTCTCGTTGCATTCTGGTTATTTTGACTGAATGCCAGACATTGTCTATGGACAACTATATGGAAATTTTGAGGCCTACAATGATGTTCTATTTTTCCAGGGAAGATTTACATTTGTTTCCGACAAGCAGCTAGGGAACTAACAATCTCAAATTACCTTAATCCCAAAGTGATTAAAATGTCATTAGAGGCTATCAGTTCCTGTAAATGCCAGTCTACTTATGAGTCAAACTTCTTCCCCAGGGTGTATGGGGCTTCTGGGTCCCAAATCATGGCCTGAGGGATTTTACCAAGACAACCCTCCCCTCATTAGCAGGCCCTAACTTACAGTTTTTGTTCTACTAGTCCCAGGAGTCTGCCAAAAGCTCTGTTCAGCTACTCAGTCCCCTCTTTCAAAACTGATATGCGCTTCCAGGTAAACATACGTCCCAAGCTGGGCTCACTTCTCTGGTTCTTTCTGCTTTTATGTCATGGACCCATAATTCTTCATTGCCATGTAAGCTCTCCAAATAGACTTTTTTCTTTTAAATATTCTGTCCAATTGTTTTGGTTCACAGAGAGAGGCTCTATCTAAATTACCTTATCCACCAATACCCAAACTTGACAAAAATTTTTAAAATATGATCACTTAAAGATGTTATGCTAAGTGAAATAAGCCAGATATAAAAGGTCAAATATTGTATGATTCCAATTATTTGAAATGCCTAGAATAGTAAAATTCATAAAAATAGAATGGAGAATGGAGGTTGCCAGGGGTTATGGGTAGAGGGAAATGGAAAATTATTGTTTAAAGGGTTCAGAGTTTCAGTTTGGGAGGATGAAAAAGTTCTGGAGACGAGTAGCAGTGATGGTTGCAGCACAACAATATGAATGTATTTAATGTCACTGAACTGTGCATTAAAAATGGTTAAAATGGTAAATTTTGTTATTTTTACTACAATTAAAAAGACAGGATTGCCTCTTACCATATGATTTCTATACATATTGGGCTGGGGGGTGGGGAGGTCACAAATCCTTAGCTACTAGAAACCCAAAGCCAGAATTTAATATTACCAGAAAATTATAAACCAAATTTTAAGGCAAATCTATATATATCCCTGCTTGGCAAATAGATTAAAAGGGCAGGCAAAAAAAGATAGTTATGCTCACTTTTTCAACTTGTTCGGTGACGGAATATTAGAAAAAGTTGAGGAAAATATTACTGGAATCAAAAGAGAATTATCTAAATCATTAGTTCACTTTTTCCAATATAGAAATTTTAAAATGTGAACAAATTATTTCACTCGATTCTAACTTTCAAGGATTGACAAAGCTGTATAATCTCGGGGCTTCCCTGGTGGTGCAGCGGTTGAGAGTCCGCCTGCCAATGCAGGGAACATGGATTCGTGCCCCAGTCCGGAAAGATCCCACATGCCGCGGGGCGGCTGGGCCCGTGAGCCATGGCCGCTGAGCCTGCGCGTCCGGAGCCCGTGCTCTGCAATGGGAGAGGCCACAACAGTGAGAGGCCCGCGTACCGCAAAAAAAAAAAAAAGCTGTATAATCTCAAAAACCTTTCAAAGTCAAGGAGGATGCATATACCTTCATTTAATAATAACTGTTTATTGGATGCCCACTAAGGATGTTATTAGGTTTGGACTTCTTCATAATCCTAATACTTCAAACCCAATGAGCTTGCACCTAGATTAGTGATTTCCATCCTACGCACACCATCCATTTTTAGCCTGATCATAACAGATTAAACCGTGCATGTAAACATCTATACTTCCTTCTGACGTGGCTCAATAGCTTATCTTGTCTATGAAATCATCCACAACCCTCTTCCCCATCTTCTCAACAAAGTGATCATTCTTTTATGCCCTCACTGTGCAATGATTTGTCATAAATGAAACAACTAACTGTGCTGTTTTCCTTACATGCATAATATCCCATTTCTTTACTTTATTGTTCTTCAAGGTCAGGAATTATTATCTATATAAAACCTAACTACAATGCCTAGAACATAATAAGCACTCAAGTATTAAGGAGAAAAATGGTAGCTTTTCATATATATGTGTATAATTTGTACATACTCAATTTTACAAATAAATGGTGGGTCATTTTTTTAATGGCTCTTAGTACAGAAAGTTTAGATATTGTTTAATGAATTATACTAATATGTTTCTACTTAGAACAGGCTGATAACCATTAAGAAATGAAAAAAGGTACTCTGGAATGAAAAGAAACCAATTATTTGTTAGATTTATTCTTAGGTACTTTATCATTTTTATTACTTTAAGCAGTATCTGTATAAAATTATATTTTCAATTTGCTTATCGTTAGTTCTACAAAAATGCTGATTTTTTTATTATTAACTTATTTATTTTTATTATTTATTTTTGGCTGTGTTGGGTCTTCGTTTCTGTGCGAGGGCTTTCTCTAGTTGCAGCAAGCGGGGGCCACTCTTCATCGTGATGCACGGGCCTCTCACTATCGTGGCCTCTCCTGTTGCGGAGCACAGGCTCCAGACGCACAGGCTCAGCAGTTGTAGCTCATGGGCCCAGTCGCTCTGCAGCATGCGGGATCTTCTCATACCAGGGCTCGAACCCGTGTCCCCTGCATTGGCAGGCAGACCCTCAACCACTGCGCCACCAGGGAAGCTCAAATGCTACTGATTTTTATATACTGATGTTATATCCAGCAACCTTGCTGAACAATCTTATTAGTTCTAATATGTTATCTGCAGATACTCTTGGGAATTTTTTACGTGGACAATTATATCATCAGCGAATAAGGTCAGTTCTGTTTCTTCCTTTTCAATCCTTATTGCTTCTATTTCTTCATCTTCATATTACTAGGTTACCTCTTCTGCAATACTAAATGAAGATGATTATAGCTGAAATCCTCAAACTTATTCCTGAGTTTAATGGAAATCCTTCCAACATTGAGCTATCTTGTAAGATGTTTGCTATATGTTTATATTATTCATCCTTATCAGCTTAAGAAAACTCATTTTTATGCCAAACATGCTGAGAATTATTATGTATGGATTTTAATTTTATCAATGTTTTTTCTGAGACTCTTGTTTCTTACAGGTTTTCTCCTAGCAAATTAATAGGTTATCTAATGTTAAACTATCCTTACATTACTGAGATAAAGAGATAAATCCTATTTGGTCAAGTTGGTGGTCTTTTTTTTCCCCCATATACATTGTTGCATGTGGTCAGCTAATATCTTATTGAGGACTTTTATATCTATGTCAATGTTCTTAAGTGAAACATGCTTATACATTTCCTCTCTCAACTGGCTCTTCTATGTCTCAGATACCAAAATTATACTAGCCTCATAAAACACTCTTCTTTAGAACCGTTTGCATAGAACAGGTAATAGCTTGAAGGTTTTTAGATTTTGTTTATAAATGCTCTGGATGCCCTCCTTTTTTTTTAAATTTTGGGGGTAGATTATTAACTACTGGTACATTTTATGATTGAGGTCTATTATGTTTCTATACATTTCTGCCAGGTGTGGTAAATTATATTTTTCTACAAAATGGCCCATTTATTAGTGTAAAGCTGTTCATATTATAATTTATTTCCTTACTATAACTATAGTGATATCTCTTTCCAACCCTAATATTGTTTATTTACAACTTAATTTTTTTGTTTGAGTCTGTCAATTTATTTAGGGAAGCAGCTTTTGTGTTAATAATTTCTATTTATTATTTAGTTATTTTTTCTTTTATTTTTAGTATTTCCTTCTGCTTTTTTGGGTTTGCTTATTATATGCCATCAAGATTTGTCCATCTACCTAGAGGGTATCATGCTGAAAAAGTCAGACAAAGAAAGACAAATATGCTGTGATTTCACTTACATGAGGCATCTAAAAAACAAAACAAACGAACAAACATGACAAAACAGAAACAGATTCGCAGATATGAGAATAAACGAGGGGACGGGGGTGGGTGGTCCATCTACGGACAACTTAGACATCCCACAGGTTTCTATATATAATATCTTGTCACTCAGATCCAGGTTGTTTTTTTTTTTAATTTTTAAACATTTTCTAATCTTCATAATGATTTCATCTTAGTGTCACAAATTATTTAGAAGTGTGTTTTTAAATTTCCAGTATTTTAAGAAACACTCCATTTGTCAAAACTGGAAGTCATAGGATAGTTTACTTCTCTTATGAATAAAAATTTCAGTATTTCATATGGAAATTTCCTGACTTACACAGATTTCTAATTTTTCTTCAGTTGAGGTATAACTGACATACAACATTATATTCATTTCAACTTTACAAATAATGATTTGATCCAATTATTTTTAAATATTCATTTTCTTTTTTGCCAATATTTAGATACTTTTAGGTTTGTTCATCAGTGTTATCAAATGACCAATTCACTGAATTTACCAAAAATTTATTTTACAGCTACTAGTTTGGAATGTTGTGTTTAAAATGTTCGATAATTTCTACAAAGTTCTAGTTGTCCAGGTTCCAGTTTTTTTCTATAGTAGCATCTTAGGAAGTATTCAATTTGTCTCTGTCTGGCCTAACTCACTGCTGGGACACTTTGCTGGAGGAAAGACAAAGGGGAGAGAAAGTACTCAGAACGACCTGGATACCCCCCAGGGAGAGAGGGTTCTTGGTACAGAGACTGGAGACGAGAGGAGAGCTGAGCAACAGGCACAGAGAGCAAAAGGAGGGAGGCCAGGGAGCAGAAAGAACAGGGTAGGGGGCGAGGGTACAAGAAAGAGAAGGGAGCCTGAGAGGACCGAGGGCAGGCTGCGACAGTTAGTACTAATAGTTACACTTGCTTAAATTCAGTGACCTGCCTTTCAGCTAACTGATTCAGGTCTTTAGAAGTTCCTCTCCAGGGGAGCAATGCATTTGTTTTTGCCAGGTGCCCTAGGAGTTTCACTGGCCTGCATCCAGGATTGGTTAATTTCTTGACTGGAGCTGTGTAAGTGAAGTTGGAGGTTCCCATTTTTCAGAGGAGCTCCTAAACCAGCTCAGACAGAAACAAACTCCTTTGCCTACCTGTGCTGATTCAGAGGATTTTTCTAAGTCCTCTTTTTACGGTGTGCAGCCCCTTGAAGAGGCTCAGCTTTATGCAGAGATACTGGTTTCAAAGCCCAGCCTCTCACAGGCCACAAAATCTAAGTCCCTGGATACTACCAGTTCATAATCTCCATCCCAAAACACAGGGCTGCTGCAGCATCTGGCCACCCCACACTACACCACCCTGTCTCCTAGTGGAAATGCAGGGACCTACCTTTTAAGAACTCAGCTGGAAATGTGTTACATCTTCCCTGCATATGTTTAACATTGGTTGATTTTACCATCTTACCAGAGCCAAAAAAAGTATTTTGTAAATCTGTTCTTTATAAAAGTCCTCATTGCTATTAGCATGTACTTAATGCTAGCAAGACCCTATTTGTATTTTCCTCTATCTACTGCTCCTGATCTGTTAAGGCTCAAGAACTTGAGTAATCAGATAATCCAGTCACCTTTCTAAGAAATCCAGAGCAGGGAATCAGTAAAAGCTTAGTTGTCATGGCAGACATGAATTACAAAAGCCTAACTATTCTGGCAACCTTAATACCTACAATTTTTCTACCGTATATGAATTTAACAACATTTTATGAAACTACTTACATTTTGAACTCTTTCCTATAATCCCAAACCCCATACCTTTGGTGGGAAATGAATTCCTTAAACACACTCTGCTACTTAAGTGTATTTCACATTTTAGTTTGTCTTAAATTTACTTTGGATTCCACAACCTAGCTAGTTTGAAGGCCAAAGCATCTAAAGAATATTCATAACTGAAAAACTCAGATTTATATTCTTGAACAATTAGTTCTAAATCCTCATCTAAGTTCAGGCTTTATAAAAAGGTGGAGAGGGTGGGAAGGCAAACCTATATCCTTTTTCCCATAGAAACTCTTTTGTCTATAATTTTAAAGTACTTCTTTATTTCACTGAATGTATCAAGTCCTTGTGTAATACTAGATAACGTTAAGAATTTAACAGACCCTTACCTGATGGTCCTGAATCTTCCTGCCCACCACTCTGAATGTGTTGTTGCCTGTATGATGATATATATGAACTCTGATGCACCTGGTGGGGGGGGGAAGAAAAGCAAACTTTTAAGAGACTTAAAATATGCTAAGCTTCCCACATAGCCATATAAACCAGAGTTAGCTAACCGAGCAGTTGGTCAACAATTAGTGCTTTACTGGGTGCTAGAAACAGAAACAATGAACAAGACAGAGGCTTCCTGCTCTTATGGGTAGAGTCTGATGGGGAAGACAGACCAAAAAATGAACTGTAATGAGGGACCAGAAAGAGATCAGGATCCACAAAGAGCACTTAGATAGAAGAAACATTTTCTTCTAAATCTGAGGATCTAATACATTCATTAAACTGAATATAACTACAAATATAAAGTAATCATTATTTAACTGTATGCATATGTTTATAATATTGGTGAACTGTTTGTGATTCCCTCTCTTTACTGGCAAAATTACTTTTATCATCAGGCTTGCTTCAAGATCTATATAACAAATTCTGCTAGGCTCTTCTGCCCCCTGAGATATGGAGTGGTCACTAGCAATCAATGGACAGCACGGGTGACTGAGTAGTCCCTGACTCTCCACTCAGGCAAGATAACATCTTATGTTTCAAATTTCTTCACTTGAAAATGAAAAAGTAAAATAAGATGATTTCTAAGGATTCTTCTAGATGTTAAATTCTAAGCTTCACAAATAAATATTGAAGAAAAGAAGACCAACTCCATGATAGAATCCTTAAATCTCAGCTTCTCAATTATTTGTTACCAAGTGAAACTGAGATACATGAATAAATAAAATGTAGAGATGATCTTAATTCTTTATTAAGCAATAGTTTCATCTTTCAAATATATTCCAAAATAATACTGGGCAAAGAAGACTGATTGGAATTTTATTTTATATGATATGTTATTTTTTTTAAATGAAATACCAAAAGTGAACTATAGAACAGGTATATTAACTCCATGCTGACTATTAACCGAATTAAAATGACTCAATCTCCATATAGAAGACTTATCTTGATGCTTGCTTAAGCAGCTGTTAATGGAGATGCTAAGTAGCTCATCCAACCCCATCTTTTAACGAAAGCACTGCTCATTCCACCAATTTTAGCCTTCAAGATTTTAAACAGTAAATCATGTGGGTCCTTCCCCATCATTCTGGGAAACAGTCGCTTTCATGCCCTCCCTGCTTACCCACACTTCTGGCCCATCTCTCAACAGTGTATGTATGTGCTTTACTAGACTTGTTGTGTGACTTGATGACACCTAAAGAGGTCACAGCACCGGGCAATAAACCCACCCAGAACAGTGGGGTTATAAATGCTTGTAATTTTCCATTAGCTAAATCTTACAAAAACTTGTAACAATACCTGTGCAGCACAAACACTGAAATAAACCTAGTGGTACTGTCTAAATTTTTATGCTGCACCGAATTTTTTTTAGTAAATTAGTTCTGGGAGTAAAAACGAGGCAATGACTAAAGCTTGAATTATTTTTAAAAGCTTGATTAAAGAGCCTTTGTCAGCACAGCAGTTGAAATCTCTTCAAAGCTCACAACAAAAATACTTGTTAAGGGACAAAATTTACATAACCCTATAGAAAGAAACAAGCTAAGGCAAAGTGCCTCTTACAGCATACAATCCAAGAAACAAATTTACTAACTAACTGTAAATAACAACTCAATAAACAAATCTGTAAATTAATACAGAACAGTATTTTCCAGTTCGAAAATTAATGTTTTTGGACATACACGATGTTTCCCCAAGGTTCAAGAAATAATGTCTCTTCAAGAACTTCCACTGGGATCATAGAAGCTAAAGCAATAGTTGAACCCCTATTTTGTAAATCAGGTTATTCCACGCCTCAAAAAAAAAAAAAAAGATACACAGGAAATCTAAAACCAGGAGAGTTAAATAAAATGTCCCAACTTTCTCCTCCACCTTTTTCTTCCTCATTGCTCTACAGTGGGATGCCGGAGACATTCCAAATTACTGAAGCACAGAGTTAACTGAATAGCTCTGACTAATGCTTAATTATTCAAGATATATATAAACCACTTAGTCAGCAAGCAAATGTCTAGTCACTTCAATTTCCCTATAACCACAGAAACAAAGACACCTCTAAATGAACGTATCAAAGTAGCCAAGAAAGGCCAAAAATACAAAAACTGGTTGATTAGTTTTCTAATGAAGATGAAAAGAAATCTTCAAACTGAGATGTTAAGGATACAAATCTAACTCTAAACAAAACCAAGAAGCACCAAGAGGTTAAAGGGAAGAAAAAAAATAAGATGTGGGTAAGAGCTGAAGTGTTACTGGAGGTATAGTCAGAGCCACGTGGGTTATGCAGCAAGCTGTGAAGATACAAGCTAAGACCCAAACAACCGTAGTTCTACAAGGCATCCGGCACTCAGAGAAGCCAAATCAAGGCCCAGCCAGGAAGGAATGGCACTGTCCAGTGGGTTCTTAGCGACCAAACCAAGTCTTTCCATTCCTTTCCACACACCTGAGGACCTCTCCTCAACTAGAGACACACATCCTATGGTATAACAAAATAATATTTGGTCTTTGTCAGGTTCCTGGAACAGAGCTCCTAAAACCCTTGGCATCTCCTGAGCAGTAAGAGTGTCTTTGGTATGCTAATGAGATTACTCTCAGCTTCCATACAAAGCCAAGATCAGAGGGTAGAAATGTTCAGTCTCACCCCTTCCCCACCTCTGGGGAGGAGAGAAGGGCCGGAGACTGGTCTCATTCACAATGGCCAATGATTTAATCAATCATGCCTACATGATGAAATCTCTGTAAAAACACCCAATCGAGCTCACATCCAGGTGCTGGTTGGGTGGCATGCCTAGAGAGGGCCTAGAAGCTCTCTATTCCTTGCCCTAAACATCTCTTCCACCTGGCTGTTTCTGAGTTGTATCCTTTATGATAAACCAGTAATGGTAAGTAAAACACCTTCCTGAGCTCTGGGAATCATTTTAACAAATTATTGAGACTGAAGGAGAGTCTTGGGAACCCCCGAATTTGTAGTCAGCCGGGCCTAAGTGTGGGTAACCTAAGTACCCCACTGGCAGTGCCAACTAAAAACTGTCACTTCCCATCTGGTTCTCACTAAGCCACTGGAGTCGCTGACCTTCAACACCCCCTGAAAGGAGTTCGGGGCAGAGATCAGGAATGAGGCACTCTGTGCTCTGGGGAAAACTGGCAGAACAGGCCTTCAGACAGTTAGATATTTTCAGAAGACTTTATGAGCCCAATTTCTTGCATCTTCTCACATCTAGAAAAGCACTAAAATCATTAACAGAGACATCTGCTCCTCGTGACTAGCAGCAACCTTCTGCCAAAATGTGTGCTTGATTGATCCTCCTTCGCCAAAATCACATAGATACTGACCTCCCCCTTATCTTTTCGGAACAGTTCCTCAGAGCTTTCTGAGAAGCTGTCTCCCAGGCTATAGTTCCCATTTGGCCCCAGATAAAACTTACTCACTACTTAACTCACTACTGTCACGCTGTACTTTTTTTTTTCAGTTGGCAGCAGCCAGGTCTAAGTGGGAGCAGTCTTGTGGGACTGAGCCCTCAACCTATGGCATCTTGTACTAATTCCAGAAAGTCAGTGTTTGAATTCAGTTGAATTGTTGGACACCCAGTTTGCATCAAAAAAATAAGAGAACAGGGCTTCTCTGGTGGCACAGTGGTTGAGAGTCCGCCTGCCGACGCAGGGGACACGGGTTCGTGCCCCAGTCCGGGAAGATCCCACATGCCACGGAGCGGCTGGGCCTGTGAGCCATGGCCGCTGAGCCTGAGCATCCGGAGCCTGTGCTCCACAACGGGAGAGGCCACAACAGTGAGAGGCCCACATACCGCAAAAAAATAAAAAATAAATAAATAAAAAAGAGAACAGACTGTTGATTTGAGAAGAAAACTCCCACTCAATATACCAAATCCAAATTACAGGTATGCACAAAATAAGCTAGTGGTACCCAGTTTTGGATTTCACAAACCCATAAACTTCAAAAACTGACTGGATGAATCAGTACAGAACAGGGTTGACAGTATTTGGGCCTACTTGCCAGGTAGGAGATTTCAGGGTAAGGTAGGGGACCACCATAACTTACTAAAATGAAGATATTTTGGAACTTAAAAATCTCAAAATAAATACAATGTAATATACTATAAATATAATAATTAGCTTTCCATACAATTCTCTACATTGCCCACTTTTTTTTTTTCCATTTCTCCCTGGCCCAGTGAAATACTTATAAGCCTGCCTGCTTTATATGTATGACTATATGACTGGCCTGAGTCACAACAGAACTGCCTGTACGTTGGTGTCTATACAAGCACTAGAGCAGTGACAGGTCAGCTAGAGGTTCTTCTGGTAAGAATTTCCAACTTTATCTAGGAGGATTTTTAGATGAGAAAGTCAATGAGTGAATTTCTGAAATGATGAAATTTCAGAAATTCACATATGTGCAGTTTTTCAGGGAAAAGTAACATGGAAGGAAGGCAAAATTTAAGAACCACAGCTATTGAAGAGTCAAAAAGGGGAAAAAATTAAAGAAAATAAAGATCTAAACAAGCACAACAAAAAAAGACAAAAATTTTATAATCTTTATATTATCATTCTATCTGAATTATAACAAGGCTCAAAATGAATACCTAGTCAAAGCCTTCAACATTCTGAGTCAGTAAAGGAAGTACATAAAAGATTAAATTAGTAAATTACTGAGCTGTACTTTTGTGAAGATCAGGCAGTAAATTAGTTATAAACAAAAATTTCATTTTATGACCAAATGCAAATGGTATATGTAATTGATTATACCTCATTTTCCTGATGTTAATTTTGGTTTTTTAAAAAATGAAATATGGCATTAGAAGGCTAAAGACAGCTGATTTTTTGAAAAAGTATAAAAACCATGACACTACAATCCAATTTTGTGGCTTTGTAAAAATTCATTTCCGAATATAGTCAAATTTCCTGAACAGGTATATATGATGGTAGAAGATGCTGGCCCAATTTTATTTTTATAGGTTACCTGTGAA